CCCTCCCCACTCACTACGCAGTTCTCGATCCCGAGACAGCCTCAAAATGATCTCGAGATGGTCCCGAGACGATCTAAAGGCGGTCTCAAGATGGTCTCACGATCGGATCCGTGAGCGATCTCATTTATTTGTGCCCACACACTACACAGGCCAGCACATTATCAAAATGGCTCCCACCCAAAGTGAAGTTGCTGCAGCCGGTATAGTTGTTTTTAAAAAAATGGTGAAATGGTATGGATTTAACGCCCCTATCAACACTATTAGGTTAATTAAGGGGCAGGACCTCCTAGTTTAACGTCCCACTCCGATAGGACTGAGCCAAGTGGGAAGTTCATGTAAAGCGCCTTTCCCAAGGAAACAACATCGAACCGAGATGGGCTCGAACCGTATGGTTTTGAATATTTCTCTAAAGACAAAAAGGCGAAAAAAAGCATTATGGTGCAAACAATGGCTTCTTCGGCGGGAGGAATTCACACCTTTTGAAGGAATTGACATTGCACTCTGCGGATTATAAAAATTATTTGCGTATGGACGAAGACTCCTATCCTGGTCTTTGAGGAACAAAAGCTTTTCATAATACCATAGTCTTGGTGTGTAAATGTCTCGAGTTCCAGCACCAGAAACGTTTTTGCGCATTCAACTTTAAAACACTCCTTTCTGAACGCGATTCATTTTTTTAAATTATGCTATTCTGACAAACGTTTTTTGACAGAACTTTGCACACATTCAACTAAATTGTCATATGCGCGATCTCTTAGAATTCGATTGCAATAGTCTGTTTTTATAGTAGAGGGTTTTGCGGCGCTCGCAACTGCATAAGGTCATACGAGCGCCAAAGCCTGGGTGTCAACAGAGAAGTCTTTACAGGGAATCAGACTTCGACTGCTCACCTCTCTAGCTTCGACAGCACAAGGTTTGCTTCGACTATCAAGGCACCCCAAAATAGCAGGTCACAAGGGAGTGACAAGCATACAAAAGAAGTAGAGGAAAAGGACAATAGTAAGGATCAGGAAAGAAAAAGCAGCAGTTCCTTGTTGTAGATCAGGCACAGTAATGAGCGTAACATGAGTCAGCCCATTTACAATTCTACTATCCTTGAACGAGATAATATGTCCCCTCTTTGGGAATGGCCTAAAGACACTTCAGTCAGTGGCACTGCCCCGGGGGGGGTTGCAATAGTCTGTAGATTTTATTTTCTACTAACACTTATACTGTATCTCTGTTTGAATTCAGTATATGTCTCTCTCTAGCTGGCTGGCTCACGCAAAGAATAATTTATTAACATTACTATATCAAACGTATGATAGCCGTGTTTTGTATCAAATCCTACTAAACACTAAAATGTGACGCCGATGAAGATTCTGAAGTCAGATTTGAAAAAATTTGTCTTTGGCACCTTTTATTTTTAGCGTCGAGTACCCCAATCTGCGATCCGACAGATAATTTTCAGGCTCGTTCTGAATTCAAGTAATCTCACGGTTTGTGGAGATTTGTAAGTGAGCAGTCCGAATTTTGGTCTAAAGATTGCCTTAAGATCATCTTGAGATCATCTTGTGACGGGTGCAATCAGCTCAGTTGGAGCGTAGCGATGTTCTCTCACCACGATCAAAACAAAAATAGGTAAAAACCACCCAGCAAAATGCCCAGATGATTATTTTCTTCCCATTTTGGTATCTTATTTTATGAAAATAGATTTACATAAGAGCTGACTTAAAGCGAAGTGTGTGATGCTTGCTGAACCCAACCCCCCTCCCGCACCCCCGCCCAGATTAAAATTTGAACTTGTTTTGTTCAAAGATAGATAGTCTTCCGCATACTGATAGTTTAAAGATAGTGTCTTTATCGCATGGAGTCACGGCGACTCGCATGGGTCCCACTGGGAGTGGGAACCCCGGATATTCGGATATTTTTAGAAGATTAAGTAAGTACCGGATGATGGGCTCAAATACACATTTATTTTACCCTTGCAATATTCAATGTTCTACTTTAGAATTATAAAGTTTTATCTGGCATTTTTGACCGTTTTGAGTTATTAAGACCATGAGGTAAGAAAAAAAATCTTTCTGCTTTATCAAAATGTATAAGATTATTCTACGTAGTTATTTAGATATTCAAAGTATTTCATTCGAAAAAGCTTGACACGTTGTGAAACTCAGACGTTTTTTTACATCATACTTCTCAAAACTTGGTAGTTGGAAAGTTACCTGGCGGTCCGATAAGTCGGGTCTGTCAGGGGGCCCCCGTCCAAGATAAGTGTTGCCTCGTCGTGGTCCTGAATCCGATTGAACATCTCAGTGAGTCTCTCAGACGATATCTGCCTATTTCCCGCGGAACCCTTGACGTCATCCAAGGGCATGCCACTCCCTTAATTATCTTGTCCCCAAAGTAAAGATAAGAGTCATGTCCCTTGACATCACATCCCCCTCACGCCTACAAGTCGAGTCTCTGCGGAGGCCTGACATGGCGTCCCGACTTCGTTATGTAGTCAAACGTAGTGGACGTATCATGAAGGGTTGTGTCTGACTCTAGTGACTCTGTTGGTAATTCTGGCTGATGGTGAGGCAACAGAGAAGACTCTCTGGGATCACGAGATGGTTACTGTTGTCGCCTTCCGTCCTCAGCCGGATCTGGTGACGATTACAAACTTTCAAGCCGTTTTCCGTTTTCAAGAGGTATGATCTGTGTCTCGATCTGTCTACAACCGTAGCTTTGGCATCCCTTGGGGCTTTAACCCAAACTGGCTGTCCCTTTGACAAGTCTGACATGGGCTTGGCGCAATGTCTTCGATCGTAATCCTGTTTCTGCCTCTGCCTGAAAGCTGCGTCAATCTTCCTGAACACCTGCCTTTCTCCCCCCTTTGGGACCAATTTTTCTGGGAAAATGGGCTCTCTTGTCCTGACATTCCTACCCATTAGAAGTTCTGCTGGGCTCTGTCCTTGCTGTAAAAGAGTGGAGCGGTAGTTCATGAGAGCCAAGTAAGGATCATCAGACTTACTCAGTAACATTTTGATATTTTTAACGGCTCTTTCAGCTTCTCCATTACTCTGAAGATGTAGAGGGCTGCTTCGCAGGTGCGTTAAACCATAGTACTGTGAGAACTTTTGAAACTCGTGTGCAACGAACTGGAATCCATTGTCTGAGACGACGATTTCATGAACTCCATATCTAGCGAAAATTGACTTGCAATGTTCTACGACATTTGAAGCAGTAGGCTCTTGTAGATGAGCTATCTCAATCCACCTCGAGTAATAGTCTACTATTAGGAGATATGTGTGACCTTTCCACACAAAAAGATCCATACCCACCCTTTGCCAAGGGTAGTCTGGAGTGACTGTCAGCTTCAATGGTTCTGGGCTGACCTTTCTTTCTTTTTCACAGTCTAGACAGTTTGTAACCAACGTTTCGATTTGCTGTGACAGTCCAGGCCACCATACACTGCTTAGAGCCAGTGCTCTGCACTTGACTATTCCCTGGTGTCCTTCATGAAGACGTTTCAAATATCTTGTCTTAATATTGTGGGAATAACAATTCGGCACTGGTATAGTAGCAAACCTTGTTCCACAGTCAGCTCGTCTCTCGACGTCCAATATGGCTTCATAACTGGATCGACTGTGGTTGTCGC